TCAAGTCCCACACCCATGTGATAACTTTTTTAGAGATCTGTGCCAAATTTAATGGTGATCCTTTGAGGTCCTACATACATACGTGTGGGAGGGTCTCAAAGAATCATTACTATATATATATATATGTATATAACATTTACCTACTTGATCTCATGTACTTTTTGTTTTTGCTGTTTCTATGCTTCTTCACCTTTTTTCTTTTCTCTTCTCCTCTACTCTCGCATTGCCCCTATTTTTCTCTTTGCTTTGCTACTCTGCCCTGGTCACTCTCTCTCCCTCATGCAAACTGCTCATGCAAACTTTCTCTTTGTTCTCTGATCTCTACCAAACATTCTACTTTCCTACTTTCATCTCTCGTCCGACATCTTTTTCCGCTCTCCTTTCCATCCCCGTTTCTCCACCATTGTCTAACACTTTACTCTCCCACTCTCTTGCAGTTTTCTTTTCTCTAGCTCTCTCTTAACTTTCTTTTCCACCATTCTCGACCATTTCTCTCTCCCACTCTTGTGTTTGGTTTTGTCGTATCTCGCTGCTTTCTTTCACTTTAACTTTCTCTCCTTTCATTTCCCCACTCCTATCCCGCTTCTCAACAAACTCTTTGCCGTCCTCTCTCTCTCTCACCTTCTGCTCTTCATTTCTTTCCCCACTCTCTCTACCGGTCTCCCTCTTTTATGCTCAACTTTCTGCTCTTCTTTTTCTCGTTTTTCCCTCTTAGTTTTTTGATATACGATTGGTGGTTATACAGTCAGAACACCCCGTCTGTGGGATTCGTATACTGACATCTCGTGGGCTTTTTGTAAGAATATTTTTAGATGAATCATGATGCCCCCAATTCTCCAAAAAAAATATAAGAAGAATCTACTAATATAGCTTTATCCCCAAGTTAACTCTGTCATACATGTGTTTTGGATATGAGACTCTTGTTTTTTGATACAGTAAATTTCTACATATGAAAATGCCTTAAGTTATGAAAATAATGTTTTTATTTCCTTTTACTTTGTATTTCATATGATATTCCTCATTCATATTAATCTGAGAGGGATGCTAAGCTGTTAGAAAATAAATCCAAGTATCTTGTTTCAGGTTTAGAAAGTTTACTATAAAATATTATCGGTCATCTAACACTGCTAACCTGAGTGTACTGCTTTTGTCTTTTTTTATGTTATGGAACTTTCATCACCTGATTGTTGTGCAAAGCAACAAGTTTTCAATTGATTGTTGTCAGGAGCAATCATGGATTTCATTGTCATAGAAACATTTCTATCTTGTATGTATTTCCGTTTACTTGTATTATATGTTTTTCCCCTGAACCATATGTTGGAACATTATAAAATATCAAAAGAATTGGGAATTAATCTATCACACAAAATGTCTATTATTTTTGTTAACATTTCTTTGGAGTATTACCCATGTTTTACTTTGGTGGTGAATACCCTTTAATATTTTGATGATGATTTGAGGTGGCTAAGGAAGAATACTCTTAGTCTCTATATGCACATCTGATGAAAAATATGTGCATGTTGACTGTGTTTATCAATTATACTTATGCCTTCTTGTGTTTTCTTTTTTCTTACACAGGGAACACCTTGAACTGCAACCATCCGGTTGTGATGGAACTTATACTTGATAGTTTGAGGCACTGGTATGTATGCTAGAATCATCATGAAGATTTTCGAGATAACTGCAAGTTAGAACCATTTCTTGGTTTGAAAAAAAGAAAAATCTGAAACCCGTACTAGATTATATCATGGCAGCTGTTTCAAAAATTTGCTTGCTCTGTGGACGCTTCTATTGCTAATCTGAACGGACACTGTTAATTCTCTCTGCTGAGTATCTTGTAGGTAATGCTCCTGAGATGACTTTTCTTTCATTCTGATCATATTTAAACACCTTTTGTTGAAGGTCATGAATGATTTTAGAGTTTAGATGCCACAAGGACATAGGAAGCATTGGGAAGTGTTAGTTCAATTATTAGTGCCTTGATGTTAAGTGTTCATCTAATCTCAGCTCACCTATTGATGCTCACGCATTTTTGAAATTGATGGGTGATTAGTTGCGGAGGACATTATATATACGCATTTCTTACACATCATAGTGTGTTTTAACCTCATGATTTCCATGATCTGTACATTCTATATTTGCCAAAGAATGAAGAATATATGAACATTGTCAAGAGTACTAAGCTTTAGATAATTGTTTGAATTGTTGGTGTTGCATGATTTAGTGGCTTAAAACTGATTTTCCTGGGTGCGGTGAAGTGAAAGATGGAAGCAGCGATGGATCTTTGTAACCTTGATTAGTCAATCTAGATGCACCTTAAGATGAACTCAGGTATGACACACCTTAAAATGAAGTCAGGTATGTCATAACTATTCATAATTATAGGAGCTGGCTCTACTATATAATTGCAATGATAACTGGTACTATGATAATCCTCCACATGGCAGTTAGAAGATCTCTATAACTGAAGTGGCTCAAACCCTATAGGGAGTGCTCTAGCTGCATGATTTAGACAGAGAACATTCTTTAACTTGCCTACCAATTTTTATTTCCATTACCCTTCGGGCCTCGGAAGATGGTTAGTGTCAAACCTTTTCATGTAAAGTAGATAGAGCTGAAGTTGAGGCTTCTGGATGGTGACCGAGCAAATATTTGAAAAGAATTATGATCTAAACTATAGGTAGGCTGGGCTCAGGGGGTGTTCCTAACTATAGAAAAGTTGAAATGAGTTTGAGATCGTAGCTTCAAGTCAAGTTATTCGCCTAAAAGAAGGAGCCAGATTGGCGGGCAGTTCAGGCTCGTGGAGTAGACAGTGAGTGGAGTGCGTAAGCACAGAACGAATCGAAAAGCACCAAATTTGATGACTTATTAAGGGAAAGACGAAGTAAGAGCATGCTATTGGAGACCTTGCAACATATGTCGGGGAGGCCTCCGTTGATTGTGTACGAACAAAATACGAGTCCAAAGGCATGGTCAGAAAGGGTTTAGGTAATGGAGATATTGACTCTTCCGGGAAACAGAAGATCAAAACGGAGTGATGAAAAAGTTACGAGTAAGCGAATGGAACCAATGGTGGTGCAGCCATTATCGTGGAAATATTCCCCCATGGCACACCCAGAATATGGGGCCAGAGCTGAGCAGCGGCGAACTGGAGAAGGGGGTTCAAGACTTTTGATTGCTGGACCATTCATTTTTAGTTTTGAGATGCGGGTTTGGAATTGAGAAAGAGATTCAAGGCAGGCCGCACAACAATGTACTCGCAAGACTATCAACCAACGAAACTGCGTTACATGGCGCAGTGTTCGCTCTTGAAGAAGGGGGAGAAGCATGTCGTACAGTAGCATTGATGAAGTGAGGCTGGGTTTATGTGGTCTTTGGTGGTATGCTGAGTTTCATCCATCAACATGTAAACCATCACAAACATGTAAACCATCACTAATAAGTTTGGATACCCTGACACATTGATGAATGCTAGTGCCCATGCAACATCAAACAAGAGTTAATATGCAACATCAAACGAGCAAATAAATTTTGTTCATGCAACCATATATTCCTCTGAGTTGAGTTCTGTAAGTGATTCTTAGACATCTAGTGCGAGATGAAAGAAAAAGCTTCTAAATAACTTTAAGTACTTTATAAAGGCAATGAAACCTGGATGCTTTAAGCAAACTTTTCTAATGACACTTAGACATCTCAATGATGATGAAGTAGTAGGCATCCAATTGACTTAGTACATCACGAGAACAACTACATTGTTGTCTTTAAATTTCTTGTTCCTTTATACAATCATCAATCCTGAGTAACCCATTGAAATTAATACCACCATGTTTTAATCTGGAGTTCAAGATGTCTAAGTTAGCTTTCCACGGTGTACTCGAAATTAGATATCATGCTGCTATTAAGTTTATATGCAAGTTGGGAAAGTAGTCAATCAAAGTGCACTTTGGGAAGGAGAAACTCTGAGGAAATTGTTTTGAGTCTCGTAAAATCTCATGGTTCACTCCAAAAATCTTGCTTGGGCCTTGGCTTTGATGGATTGAAAACCAATAATATGTTGATGTCCCACCTAAAGAGAGATTTCAACAGTTTAAAATTTGCAGTTTTGATGTATGTAATTCCATTGTCTCGAACATTCTGGATTGCAATTTATCAAAGAGGGAAGTTTATAAAAGCCTTCAATGATAATTGATTTGATTCCATACGAACAATTGTTTAATTTGGAGAAGCAGAAAAATATGGGACTGACTTGTTGGGTTTTTGTGGCCATTTATAGGCTTATGAGAGCATGTAACCACTTTTATTATAGAGGAACAATGAACTCCAGTGGGAGTATGGTCAAGAGGGACCGAAGTTGAAAATATTGATGCCAAGACTCAAACTAGGCTTAACGAGCTAGGCCAGTGGAGTTCTAAAATCCTGAGATACCTAGGCATAAAGCACAACTGAGGAGGGTTTGTAGGGTTACCTCTTGATGCGGTCGAAGAGATGTCCATGGCAGTTTGCCAAGGGACTGTGTGATCCTTGTGTGTGATTGGTAGGCCTAAAGAGACGAGGGCCAAATGCTCATCATGACCATCACATGACATGTACATATGATAGCCGTATTGGGAAGTGAACACCATTGATGGTGTTACATGCACGTGTGAGAAGTATCCCCCATGCACCAATTGTGATGTGTATGCATAGGTCTGTGTGACTTAGGCTTGCCTGTTGGGGAAACATGTAATCCATTGACTAGGACTGTGTTCCCATCACCTATTGGCTGGCTTTGGTTGTCCAATCATGAACTCTTGTGATGGACTATGAGTCATGAGAACTACTGGGTCAGTTTGACAAAGTGAGTGTGGCTCATGTTCTATTAGAGATGAAGTGCCTCAGTATTTTCGCAATTTTCTTAACAAAGTTGGATCTGATTCCCATCAAATTAATTAGAAATAATTAATTTGATTATAAATGATTTTTAAATTAATAAAATAAAATTTTAGAAGTCTTTGGAGATTTTATTTTCTCAAAACATATTAATAAATAGGCTTAAACTGCATTTTCAGGTATTTAATAATTCAGAGAGAATAAAAATACTAGCTGTTTTCCAAAAATCATTTTATTGTTTTTATAATTACTAATACACATGGGGGCCCATTATTCTCCATGGGCCCCACTTATAAAGATCATGTGGGGAGGTGCGTGGGGCCCACTAGTGCCCCATTAATGGCACGACCCACTTCTAGCACTTTCTTTCTATTTTGATGGCATATGTGATGGGCTATTCAATCAATTGAAATGAAATAGGAAAGTTTTGAAATGATGGATATTTGACTATTCAAAAGAGGCATGCGTAGAGATTTAATGAAAATAAAAGAAAGGTATATTATATTTTCTCTACCCTAAATATTTGACGGGACTAGGTTAAGGAAGCTGAGGGATAAGGTTCTAGCACCTTCTATTAGATCATGATGGTTGATCTATGGATTGTAAAGGTTAAGATATCTCACCCCACAAGTGTCCTTTGATCAATGGTCTAGATGGGATCTCCATAAGGATGGCTTAACCCTAGAAATCCTAACCCTAACCATAAGTCTTTAAAAGATCCTTTTTGGGAGTTTCTTTCTCTACCCCACAAGACTCGCTTCTCTCGCTCGCTTTCCTCTAGGTGGCATGCTACCCTCTTTGTTATCTCTCTCTATCTTTCTCTCCATCTCTCAAGCTCTCTAAGGAACTCAAAGGGGGGGCACGCCCCATACATTGAGAAAAGAAGAGAAAGCCATTGTTCCATATGCTCTCATCCATTGTAGGGTTTTAGCCTTAGCTTCCCATCAATTGTGAGATCCAAGAAAGGACCTTGATTCCGTGCGCCATCGGAGAAAGAGACCCGGAGTGGGGTGTATCAAGTTCAATTTAGGTAAGCTCTGGCATCTACTTTTACTTTATAGTTTATGTTTCTCCCAAGTCCGTGATTATGTGATTTTTGGTCATGAAATAAAGAGTTGTTAAAGTGACAGCAGTTGAGAATCGAAATTTGTGTTCTTATTTATTTATTTATTTATTTGAGCTTACATTGTAATCTTTGGACCTTTGTAAGTGTGCTAGGCGGTTTGGAAAAATAAAAAATTTAAACTACATAAACCGTGTTAGTTCATGTTGCCCTACTTTCATTCCTCATCTAAGCTCTGAAATGGGTTACATCTGTACAAATTAAGTACTGTATGATCTTATCCGACATTCGGAAAAAATTTATCCAGGAAAAACTGATGAAATGGGCAAAGTAAAAAAACAATAAAATTGAAATAAATGAAAGCTACCGTAATATTACGTTTTTAAGCAGCTCCCATGGCCTTACAACAGGCTTCAAAGAACTAGAAATTGAGAAAGCATTCAGTTCCGGTTGCTCTATTTTTTGGAAAAGAAGCACGATATGCAGAGTGCTTGTAAACTTAGCACATCTGTAATGGAATTCCTTTTTTTTTTTTTAATTGCTCAGGACTTGGAACTGGTTGTCAAGTCCACTCTAGTGAGTTTTTAATTTTAAAACTATGGCTTCAGTAAAAGGACCAGGAATATCCCAGCTGAAAACAGGAAAAGAATACTTTTATTAGATATACTAGATTTTAGAACGGAACCTGTGAATAAATAGGGCTCTTCATACCCTTAGCACCAGAGAAGCCTGATAATGCGGGAGAAAAGTCCCCGATGGTGTTGTGAACTTTTACTTTTTATTGTAATATATGGAAATAGGTATTGGTCATGTGCAGGAGGTTGGAGCATTGATTTTTATAATACTAGGTAGGATCTCCAAAAGTAAAACAAATATGTGGCTGAGATTCATTTTACATAAAATCACATGTAATATATTTCTTTGAACTTCTTCTTCCGGCATGGCAAATTTGATTGATATCTGAAGAAAATATAGTTCATAGCCCATTTCCGCATTCATTTTTTGGGGCTCCAATACTTGGATTTTTAACTTTTTCTTAGCAAATGAATAATGAATTGTTCTTATTGTTTTCTGAACACTTCTTTATATTACTCTATTTTCTTTATTGAAGGGTTATGGAGTATCATGTAGATGGATTCAGGTTTGACCTGGCAAGTGTTCTTTGTCGTGGGACTGATGGCTCTCCATTGAATGCACCTCCTCTAGTCAAGGTAAACTTTATAATGTCCTTAAGGTGGCTAACAGCAGTTTAGGAACATATTTGTTACCATTGAGAATGTTACTACAAGAAGAAGAGGGAGAGATGGGGAGGAAGATATGAGAGAAGAGAGAGAAGAGGAGAAAGGAGCCCGTGTTGGAGAGAATTGAGAGAGGTGGCTGGAGAAGATCTTTTCTTCTTGGGGTTAATATAGCCTCCTCGCACCTCTTATTGTTATTTATATTAATAAAGATCAGTAGAAATTATAATAATGCCGTTATGAGTAATCTAATGAAAATAATGTCCTTTTTTTAAATGACAAGAATGCTCCACAATCTACGGTAAACTCTAGTAACTGAAAAATAATCACATCTTTTAAAACTCAAGCTGGAGTATAAAAGTCAGCCATGCGCAGCTTGGAACAAATCTGCCAAGTCTGGTTATGACGAAGAGCCTTGGTGAATATATTAGCCAATTGATTCTTTGACTTTACATATAGAGTTGTTATCTTCTTATTTGATCCTTTCTCTCAATTAAAAGGACAATCCACCTCAATATGCTTTGTACTCTCATGAAACAATGGGTAGTTATATGGATGGCTGCCTGATTTGAAAGAAAAACTATGTGACCCAGCCAAGTATATTAACCTTTCTCAAAAAAGTATTTTTCTATCATTGTCTTTGTTTTACCACCCTGATCAAATACAAATGTCCAAATACAACTTTAATTTGCAAAAGTAAACCTCTGATTTGAAAGAAAAACTATGTGACCCCGGCAAATATATAGTGTTTATAAAATTTTTCTATAGTTTTCTTTGTTTTACCACCCGGATCACCTACAAATGTCCCAATACAACTTTAGTTTACAAAAGTGAACCTTAACAGTTAATGCAATCTAGGATCTTCCAAACCATTACAATTCTTTACAACCAAACAAAACTACAATGCATAAAGTTGAATCAAGAAACATAGAGCGGTTAGAATATCGAATACCTTGCCTCAATTTACCCCCAAGGACTTCGTATTCCCTACATTGGGTCTCCTCCACCGATGACGCATGGGATTTTGGTCTTTCTTGAACATTAGCAAATGGAAGTTTTGGCTAAACCCTCTTCTTTAAAGTATAAGATTATGTGTGCGCATAGCATGGAGCTTTTCCTTTCTTAGTATGTAGGACGTGCCCCCATTTCTTTATTGACCACCTAGGGGCATGCCGCCTTTCTTTCTTTTCTAACCCTTAGAGAGTAGGAGAGAGATGAGAGTAGAGAGAGGCTGGCATGCCACCCTAGGAGGAAGAGGGAGAGACTGAGAAATCAAATTAGGTGTGTAGGTCATGGACCCCCTATTGTGATAGATTTATAATAGAGAAGCTAGGGTTAAGGATTTAGGGTCTAACCATCTTTATGGAGATTCAATCTTGACAGTAGATCATCGGTGACTTATGGGGTGAGAGACCTTAGCCATTCAATCCTTGGTTCAACCTTCATGATCAAAAGGAAGGTCCTAGAACCTTATCCCTTTGTTTCCTTATCCTAATCCCATCAAATCTCTTTTGCAAGAAAGTGTCACATAATTGAAATTTATGTCATATGAATTTCAATCAATCAGGAATGTGTCACATAATTGAAATTTATGACATTTGAATTTCAATCATTATCATACTTTCCATTTTGAAATCAATCAATTATACTTCTCCATAGCTTCTAGATGGCTTCCTCAACAAGCTACCTTGTAATAGAAGGAGAAATCGGGAAAGCGTGGGGTGTTCCTCTCAAGTGGGCCCCACGACCCAACAAATGGGTTTAATATGGTGGGCACCATTAAAATTTGGGCTCCCACAATCTTAAATAAATTTTAAAACAAATAAAATGATTTTTAAAAAAGCATAAGCATTTTAGTTTTCTCTTTGAATATTTAAAAACCTGAAAATTCAATTTTAGTTTATTTAAAAATCCATTTTGATAAAACAAAATATCCAGAGCCTTCTAAAAATTCATATTAATATTTTAAAAATTATTTTACACAATTAATTATTTTAAAATTATTTTGTTGGGAATCGGATCCAAATTCGTTAAGGAAAATGCGAATATACTGAGGCACTCTAGTAACTATATCCCACACACACTTTCTCAAACTCACCTAATGGTTCTCATGATCCACAATTCATCATGTTTTCATACTCACCTACTAGTGACCATATGCCACCAAGTAATAATCTAATGGTTTTTCCTAAGCCATTCTTCATACTGTCTGATTCTTTTGGCTCATCTTTAGTCAAGAACACATTTACCCCTTGCACTAAGAAACACCTCTATTGACTGGGCCCACAAGAGGTAATTTGACCAATTTAATTTCACAGAAGTTACTGAAATTCCAATCATATCATTAATGCCAGAAATTCTACGCTTACTTTCTTCAGCCATAAGGGTTAGACACAAAAAATGGATATGCAAGATTATACTAGGCAGGGCGGTGTTAGAAGCCCTAAACGCTCAGTTGAGCCTTATATATTCGAAGGATTACAGAAAGAAAAAAAAAGCAGATTGCGAGGTAAAAGACCGTTCAAACAGCAGCTTACAATAACTTATGGAGATAGTACTCATCTTTCAGACATCAATGCACACGTATCTCCCTGCTAGAACTGACATGTGTACCACCAAAAGCTTTCTATAACATCGGCCATATACTTTTAGCACTTTCAGCAACTATTTCCCTCACTTTTCATCTCCAGGGAAGGAAACATCATTAACATGCACATTCACAGCAAGCATAGACCACCATATTGGTTCTGAGCACAAAAGGGAAGTAAACCTAGGTGTTCCTTGATGAGATCACCTCTACCAAACTTAGGGTTTCCCCTTTTTAGTTCTTTTTTTTTTTAAAGGAGAAGATGAGAAGATCAGTTCAGATCTAGGTATATTGCTCTGTTACCATGTTGAGAATGTTCCTACAAGAAGAAGAGAGAGAAAGATGAGAGGGAAGACGTGAGAGAGAGAGAGAGAGAGAGAGAGAGAGAGAGAGAGAGAGAGAGAGAGAGAGAGAGAGAGAGAGAGAGAGAGAGAGACAGAGAGAGAGATAGAGGAGTGCATGTTGGAGAGAATTGTGAGAGGTGGCTAGAGAACTCTTCTTCTTATGATTAAGATAACCCCTACGCACCTCTTATATTTATAATAGTATAGAACAATATACATTACAATAATGCCCGTATGAGTAACCTAGTAAAAATAATCTCATTTTAAGTTTATAAAAAGAACAAAGATGCCCCACAATCCACAGTAAAATCTTCTAACTGAAAAATAGTTGCATCTTTAAAAGTTATTAAAGATTCTCACGACATGCTTTAAGTTGCAAGCATGCATTTCGCCATAGTTTGGGAATGGCATTGAACATTTTGAGTAATTTTATCACTGCAATTATTTTGCAAATTCCATTATGTTGTTGATGGATTTATTTTGGGCAAAACGTCACATTATAATGTATAAACTGATCATACTTGCCTTGTGTTTAACTTGTTTTCAGGGGATTGCTAAGGATGCTGTCTTGTCACGGTGCAAAATTATTGCCGAACCTTGGGATTGTGGGGGTCTTTACCTGGTGGGAAGATTTCCTAATTGGGATCGGTAAGATTGAAATTTAGAAAGGCATGATAGTTACATGCTGAAGCTGATGTTGTAATTATATTATATCCTATTCCCTGTTTTCATGGGTCTCTATCTTAGTTGATTGAGTACGTCTTTGTTCTTTGAATTTTCAAAGGACTTTCTTGACTTAATTTTACTGTATAGAAGGTTTTAGAATATACACACTTATCAAGGCTAGAATAATCTTTTTCACATTGTTGATTTCTTCTGTTTGTTTTCAAAAAATATCTATATATTTTACAAAATACAAGAGCCAAAAGTTTATGAAATCCATTATGGTTCACTCTTGTTTGATAAAAGTATGATATGAAATCAGTTTTGAAAGTGAAAAAAATTCAGGAGTTGAACGCAAATAATTATGGACCTTCAACTCAGTTGAATTGCATGTGTTATTGCAAGGGTCCAAACACAACAAAAAAGCAAGGGGAAGAAATACATATAAAGATGAATACATGGTCCTTTTTTTATTTGCAACGAATAGAAGATTCCTTTTTGTCTTTTATATGATATTAGTCTGATTTTTTATATGTTTATCTGAGCTGAAGAAAAAGATGATTATGGAGATGATACATGACTAAACTTTCTAGGGGAGTTTACATCATGAATAAAAATATTACTCAATGTTCTGCACGCCATATAAATTGCAGAACTACCAATTTTTCCCATGAAATCCACAGTTCATTGTTATCAGAGTGGAGGATGGGTGACCTTCTTGGAGGCTTACACACTCAATATTTTAAGTGTTTTGGTGCTTAGTGTATAACTCAGTATTTAAGTACTTGATAGTGCAAGTACACAATTACATGACTTGTTGATAATGCGACTAGAAATTCACATAAGAAAATGTCAAAACATACCCTCACACAAAACTAGTATTTGTTTGTCTATTCCTCGGGAAATCAATCATATAAGATATAAAAGCTAGAAATGAAGATACAAATCCTTCTCACAGATATCCGACACAAACGTCTACCGAGGGCTCAAGCAGAATCACTGTTTTATGCTCCACAATGGAGCAAACCTGTAAAGTGGGCAGCTGTAAAATGTGCTTCAAACCAATGTTTTGTGACTCATCCATGCTGATTTTTAGGGGTAGATATGCAGCTGACGAAACGAAAGTATTTTGGTGATGGATATCACCGAAGAAATGTACTAGAGAACCTAAGAAAAAATTTTGGGGGCAGATATAGCTTGCAAAATCATTGTCATTATCTTTTCCAGAAAACTTCACCCGAAAAATATGTTCTCCCCTCAAAGCTTCTTTGTTAGTTAAAATATCAATCTAGATCTGAATATTAGTATAATATCTGTACAAAAGAAGAGAACATAAAAGAGGAAGAAGAGAGACATGAGAGACAAATTGGGCAGATCGTGTTGATTAGTTTATTGTGTTTGATTAATTACACTTATATATTTGATAGTGTATAAAGCCAAGTCCAAGTGGCAACACTCAAAAATTGTTTTTTCATTGCAATACAAAATGCTCTAAATGGCATGACTCTCACAATAACATGTGATGATTATACACAATTTCCGGCCACAAAACTTGGCTTCAAATACACATGAAAGGTATATTACAACTCTATTAAGTCCTTTGCTGAAAACCATACACAAAGTACACCAAGTACACATTAGATTTGATCATGGGAAGTCAAATTAGCGAGCTCTTTTGTGCCAGGTTGACAACCAAGGTCTTAGTTACATACCATGGAATGATTACTCAGATGGCACCAAGATGTAGGCCAGTTTCACTTCACTTTAGTGGGAAGCAATCAAGAATCATTCAAACCACATTTTGTGGCACTTTTCACAAAGAGAGCCTCGGGAATTTTGGATTCAAAACATGGGAGCAACATGAGAGAAAGGAGCTCAAATCACTCTCAGTTTGGTGAGTATGAGCGTGGAAAAAGCTTGGAATAGTTTCCCCTTGAAGTTTCACCAAATTAAATCAAGGGGGATCCAAATATTGCAGAGAAATTAGTCAATAAAATCTCAATAATGATCAATCAAATTCTCTCCAAAATTGAATCAATGAACTAGGAATCAAGGGCTCATACTCGGGGGTTAAAATATAACTCAAAATCTTATGAAATGAGGGGCTAAGGGGCTATGATAGGTTGCTATATATGAATATTTACAGCCGCCAAAAACTCCATAGAAGAATGGCTTGATGCATTATCCAAAATTGAATCACCATGGAGTTAGGGTTTCACCTCCAAGATTGGGACGAAGCTTTAATGGAGCTTCAATCTCCTTTTCTCTCTTAATTTTCACTCTTCTTTTTTACATTAGGAAACTTCACATAAATGAAGAGAGAGAGATGGCAAAGAAGGGCGTAACGTACATAGAGGAAGAGAGAGCCAAAATGCAAATGTACCACTCCTGCAAGGAATCTAGTCTCCACATGAGTAACCAAGGGTTATCAATGTGTTTAACATAGAGATGCTTCTAGATGCGTCAATCTTGGCCATTGGATCAAGTTATACATGGTATGAAACTCATCACTCATTATACTATCTTGATGAACGGATGACATTCAAATCATTATCCTCTTTATAGACCCTACATTTACTTTGAATTTTCCATAATTAATCTTGAACTGAAATTTACATCAAATTCAACTTGCTTCTACACTTGCCCATGCTAACTCATTTAAATAATATGAGAAACGTGGGTGCATGCCCTTCATGGAATATGGACTCCTTCTAGAAGCAATTTGAATTTGAAAATTCCCTATAGTACCATGTCATCTTGGTGTGCATGTGCACCTAATCATATGATGTGATATAGGATCGGTGGTTATGAGCTTAATTTCAAAAGGGTTTAAGGTTTTAATTATAATATCAAACCCTATACTCTGTCTAGAAGATCACCCAATGTGCGCACAACCAACCAATCCCCCACATTAAACATGTGCCCAAAATAATTTCTCATTTTCTCAAAAATTCACTTCATAAATCTCATGAACAACAAATTCACAACGAACAATGATTGACATGGAGCCCCTACGTGCCACATGTTGACTATTTGGGTGTCACATGTGGGAACTGAGGATGTCCTTGATGGTCATATCTCCAAAACATTTCGAAAACTCCACTGTATTTGATACAAAAAATCCAACACATTTTCGAAAATGCCCAAAAATCCTCAAAATCATAGTCCTTCATATTTACACAATTTGGCATCATATGTAAATATTAATGAGGGAAATTAGGATCTAAATATTAATAAAGGAAATTAGGATCCTATCGAGTTGAATTCGGTATCGGAGTGGCATCCCATTTGCCGTTTATGCACACATTATGAGAAGGTTCAAGGTCAAGGATATTAGCTTATATCTTCTCAAAGCCTTAACCTTCTCATACAGGGTTATCACACAAAAAATACTCAAACCTCATATCACACACAACAATCAACAATACACATTGTCTTGACCAACGCCCCATCATGAGCGATGTCGTCAGATTCGCTTAAGAGGTTTCTTCATTTTGGTGAGAAAAATGAAGTAATTCGGTGGTTCGGCTGATTTGAGGGAAGACTTTGGATTTTTTTTGAGTTTAATATAAATAAATTAGATATTTATATATAAAAGTATATTAAAATAATGAAAAAATTCAAAAAAAAATTAAAAAAAAAACTTTTATGTGGATTTTTTTGCCTAGGCTGAAGAGGCCAAAGCGTCGGTCAAATCTGCCCGAAGCAGACCTGAATTTGACTGAAGCAGCCCGAACATGACTGAAGCGGCAGCACTACGCTTTGATTCGCTTTGATCTTAGCCAAAAATCTGAAGGCTTTGGCCTCTTCGGCTGAAGTGAAGTGAATTTGACAACACTAATCGTGAGCATAAATCAAACCGACCCTGAATAGAGGTAACCTCAAGCGCATGGTGGCTCTCAAACACATAAACCCACACACCATCCTCATGACACTGTTGAGTTTGTGCCTCTTGGTCCCAGTGTGCCAAGATCTTATAGTCATGTTGCTCGTGGTCAATCCCACTATAACCATGAACTATCAAGAGCAATAAATATGCTAAATGTGCTCGTGTTCAAAGACTTGAAAAGCCATAACTCCAACGTAATTGACATGGAGAAACTTATTAAATAATGAATCCTTATTATGCCCTTATTTATGTTGCGAATGCTTGATCCAGTGTAACACGCTTGTTTTAGGGAATAATTTCTAATCCATATCGAACAAAACTCAGATCCCCAACTGAAATTCTCCGTTGTTTATCACGGTGTTTTCTCATGAAATAGGACTCTCTTTTTCATTGTTTTTTGCAATTGTTGCATTTGGATTGAGAGGTTTAGGGATACCGTCATGTTTGATAGCTTTTGATTCCAATCTACTTTGTCGTCTTATGTTTTGGGATCTTAAAGACTAACATTTGGGGAATAACATTAATTTTACCCAAGAACCTCTATTTTGCATTCTAGAATACTTCTTCACCCACAAAACATTTAAAAACATCATATTCTTGGTTTTGTTAGTTTTTGGCAATGACAAGTGTCAGACTTTATCATGGAGGGAAGAAGAGAAGAAGGGAGGAGGAAAAGTGGCGTGGAAGACAAGATTGTTGGCTCATGCCACTCGATTGATATGGAGACCCACACTCATATATAAAAGCTAAGGTCAGCTCACCAGCTGATGGAATAGTGTAAGCCCAACTGCCCAGATTGAATCTTAGCCAATCTGATGGTCACGACTGTATTTCGTAATATAATTTTAATTTATATAAATCTAAATAACATGAAGTTTGAGGTGTTCACTCTTCTTAGCAAGGCGCAAATAATAAAAATGTTAAAAAATAATTTACAAAAAATAAATTGGCTAAATACCCCTGAAAAGTTTCAGGGTATTTTGGCAAATTTATTCTTGCGAATTAGTTTTTTGATATTTTTATTAGACTCTACTATTTTTAAAGAATAGACTCTCTAAATTTCAAGTGATTTGGATTTGTAGAAAAGAAATTAAAATTAAAATACGAAATGCAAGCATGATCTTCGGATCGCCCCACGTTCAATATGGGACACTGTTCCATCAGTTGGTGGGCTGATAGTAGCTTTTTCCATATATATATGTATATATCGACTAGGACCAAGAGAAATTTACTCTTATACGCTTATGTACATTAGAAATTGCAACGAATGTTATTTACAAGGGCAAAACGTTTGATAGTGCTAATAACACCCGGCAAGCTATATCATAATTTGAACTTGCACAATTTGACTCTAAAAAACCATTTCCTACTCCATGTGAGCACCTTAGTGATGGTTATGATGAGGATTTGGCCCTCGTCCCTTCAGGCTTTCCAATCACACACGAGAGTAACAAAGTGATCAAACCCTTCGCTGTTGTGCTATATGCCCAAGTATCATAGGGTTTCAGAACTCCACTTGGCCTAGCGCTTCAAGATTAGTTTGAGTCATGGCATCAGTATTGCCAACTTTGTTCCCTTTGGACCATACTTCCACTTGAGTTCATTATTCTACTATCATGAAATTTCAATGCACTCTCTCGTGAGGCCTTTAAATGGCCACAAAAACCCAACTACTCCACCTCAAGATGGTGCATAAATGTAACCCATGCCCAGCTTGGAACAAATTGTTTGGAACAAATTACAACCAAACACTTTGGTTAGGATATCTAGCAATTGATCCTTAGATTTCATATATGAAATAGACGCTTCCCTAGTAACCTTCTCACACGTGAAGTACAATTGTACTTCAATATACTTAATTTTTTCATGAAACCTTAGATTGCTGGCTATATAGTTGTTAACATTATTATGAAAAATTCAAAATACATCCATGAGCTCAGCCATAGTAAATGCCATGTCTTCAGCCACATCACTTCACATGTAGTATGTGCTATTACGCTATATTCAATTTCTGCACTAGATCTGGCTACAATGTTTAGATTATTACTTCTCCTGTAACTAGATTTCCACTAATGAATGTACGATAGCCTGTGGTAGACCAAATGTCACATGGAGACCTTGCCCAAAAAGAATCTGAGTAACTCTCGGTGGTCTAGTGATAATTTGGCTTGTTAATTATACCTTAACTTGGAGCTCTCTTGTGATACCTCAAAATCCTGTGAACAACATCCCTATGAGGAATCCTAGGAGAGAGTATAAACCTACTCATTGCACTTTCTACAAAGCAATATTAAACCTAGTGATGGTCAGATGAATCAATTTAGTTTTTGAATGCATAAGAAAACGGTTGGTTTAGCGTCTAAATTTCAGTTTCTGTCAACAAATCAGTCATGTATTTTCTTTGAGGCAAGGTATTGCTATGCTTTGATCTGGCTACTATAATTCCTCGAAACAACTTTGCTGGCCTGAATACTAATATATTGTTTTAGATGTCTCTTGAATTGACCAATTCCTTCTTGATCATTGCCTATAATTACAATAACAACATATAAAAATAGGACATTGGTCCTTGAGTCCTGTTTCTAGATTATCACTAAATGATCTGCATGGTTGTGTCAAAATCCATATGCCGCAACAACTTTACTAAATTTCTCAAGCTATGCACCTGGGGACTGCTTCAGAGCGTAAATGGCTTTCGTCAATTTGCCTTGTCTGATCACCCTAAGCAATAACCTCAGTGATTGCTCGATATACAACTCCTCTTGTAAATCACCATGGCGGAAGGCATTCTTCAAGTTAAGCTGTAACAATGCTTAGATCTTGTTCGTTGCTCCTGATATAACTGCTAGAATTGAATTAGTTTCAGCTACAGGAACAAAATTTTTATAGAGTAGTCAATGCCAAAGGTTTGGGTTTATTCTTTGCAACCAATCTGGCTTTTAATATCTTGACAGTACCACTAAGTTGAATTTTATTGTATAAACTAGTGGCACCCATCAGTCCTTTTTCCAGCTCGTAACTCAGTGAGCTCCCATGTATCATTCAAGGCGAGTGCTTCCATTTCCTCTTCCAAGGCTTTCTTCCACCCAATATGAGAAAGTGGTTACTGATAAGACTTAAGGATAGAAATAGTTGAAAGGGCTGAAGCGAAACTTTGATGCGATGGTGATAAATTTGTGAAAGTAACAAAATGAGCAATGGGATGTTGAGTACAAGACCTAATACTTTATGGGTGGCGATAGCTGAAAAATATAGAGAGAAGAGAAAAGAGGCACACACTATTCGTCCATGAAAACACACTAGGGCAATGCCCTAATTCTTGTATTGTAACATATATAATGTTGCATCTTGAGTAAGGACATACATTACAACAAATTATCATTATCATCAACCCAGTCTTTCCCAACAATTTGGGGTAGGCTACACTAATCATGTTCTGCCATTAGGTTCAGGATTGATGAAAAGATGTGGCAAAATTTTACGCTGGTTGCCTACGTTACAAAAGCCTCCTCTTTTACCTGGGCTTGAGATCGGCATGAGTGGCATGGAACTGGCCAAGGCAGAATTCCATATACATTACAGTGAATACTTCACAATATATAAACCACTTAAAATACATGCAAATTACAAAACTGCCCTTCATTGCATTCTAACACTCGCCCCTCAAGTTGTACATCATGTTTGAACATGTACAACTTGTGCTTTAAGAACTTCTGTCGATATTTTGCAAGCCTTTTGTGAAGATATTAGTTGTTTGATTTTAGTCTCAATAAAGTGAGTATATGCCTCATGGGCTTCAATTTTCTCAAACAAAATGGCAATCTATCTGAATGTGTTTAGTGCGACCATGAAATACTGGATTTGCTAAAAATACGACTCAACTGCTTTCTGCTTGCCTGGCCTTTGGAGGGCCTTTCCATGTTTTGTCTAGTTTTTGGAGGATCCTTGTTCTCGAGCACCTATCTTTTGCGTCGCCCCACTCCTCCTAATCTTTGGGAGTTTGAGCGACCTTCAGTCATTTGCCCAAGGAAGCCAACCAAGCGGCTGTTGCCTTGGCAATGCAAGGAGCAGCACAGAAGGTGAGCAACTAGTAGCTCCTCCAGAGCTTCGTTCTTAGCCACTCTAGCAACTTCATAACTACATCCCTCTTTTTTCTCCTTTCTTGCCTCCTATCTCTTATTTCTCTCTTCCCTTTCTTTCTTTTAAACCCTCCTCTTCTCTATCGCCCCCTTCCTGACTTTTCTCTCTTTGCCTTCGATACTTATGCTCCTCCTCTTTCTCTCTTCCTCTTCGTCTTCATGTTGCCTCTCTCCTCCTCAATCTTTGTACGAGATCATCTTTTGCTACCATTTTTGAGAACCCATTTTTTTCTGCTTGTATAGAGCTCTTGACCTGTGAGTAGCCCGTTTTAATAAAATGTACTATTTATACGATCACTAACACAATCGTATGTTCCCTTAAAAAAAAATAGTGAGTTATGTTAACTTCTTTGTGTACAATCCATGCACCTTGGCAATAGAAGAGAGTGTCAGTTTACTTTGACTCGATCATTATGACTAAATGGATCTGTGTGGAGTTGACTTTTTGTAACTATGCCGAAATCTTTTGTGGCATACTCTATGTTTATGGTTCTGTATATGATGAAGAACAAAGAGACTCTGAACTCCATATGCTTATCTTAGAATTACATGGCTTTCAACTGTCATTTATGTACTTTCACGTATGTTACTGTATTCATTTGCTTCCTATGCCAGTAATTTTGTGCAATAACATGTGAAAATGTGGGTCCTATGCCCTTCAAGCTGAGTTGCGGCTTTTGCTGTTCTCCTTTCCATATGGTATGGTGATGATTGGTTTGTGATGTCCTTTCTACTTCTCTTACAACCAAATATGAGGTTTTCAGAGTTTTCCACTCTAATCTTTTCCACTCTTGGAATCTGGACCTGTTTTAGTTTTAAAGTTTTGAAAGGTCCATTTTTCCTTGTCTCATTGATACTTACATCCCAACCATGCAGGTGGGCTGAATGGAATGGCAAGTATCGTGATGATGTTAGAAGATTCATAAAGGTGAAGTTAACTGAAGGAATTGTTTGATATATCATCATCATCTAAGCCAATCTAGAACTGAATGATTGAATGTGTTTTTACTTGTTTCCTTGGTGACAAAATGCCTTGTCTCTTAACTCTTAAATTCTTTCACGGCTAGTTCTCTGTTGTTGATTTCTTAATGGTTTATTAAATATGCATACTATTGAAATGAAAAAATGAATACATAGGAGAATTTTGTGTCAATTAAGAATAATCATGTACCTCATTTAGAGAAGCAATTTCAATTGCTCGGCTGTGAGCTTTTTTATGTAATTTTTTGGGGTAGCAAATTCTTGGCATGAAAAGTGAGAGAGAAGTCCTTAAAATTTGACTTAATGACATGAGGACCCCTAACACAAAGGAATAAATGTCGACATGGATTTTCCAAGACTGTCTTTGAAACTCATATGTGTGTTATCCAACTTCACTAGGGACATTTTGGGCACTGTTTGCTGACCTTATTTGAGCCAAATTACTTTACTTTCCGTTCCAGCTTGACCCTGGAACCAGAATTGAGCAGTTTGAACTAAGCTAGTTAGCTTCCTTTTTCCTTTCCATTTATTTGTGTATCTATTTATCTATTGACTTCTCTGATTAGACTTCCAAGTGGATAGACAATTTTGCTGCCTGAATGTCCTGTATTATATTAATGATGAAGAAGTCCTGTATGGCGGTAACTCCTAAAGCTTCTCTGGACCAATTGGATAGTAGAATTCTTTAATGGAATGGAAAATCAAACTCAGCATACATGAACTTCTTTAAAAGTTTGATTACTTCTCCGGAGATGATAAATCGGCCTCGTTGTTGTTGTCCCCCCTCCCCCCCCCCCCCTCCGGCTTTCTCGGATGTTAGCTTGGGACCTGGTATGATGCCATTGCTGCTTTGGAGATGATAAATTGACCCCTTATTGTACTGGTCTCCATGGAAGCGACTGTCAAAATTTAGTTCTGACCTGATGGATTAACCAAATCTGTATGTACCAAGAGCACCTTGAGGAACAAATATCTCATATTCTTACCTATGCCCTTGTGAGTTGTCCTGGGCAACTAAATTTGCTTTATTGTAATCCACCAATTCATCAACTTTAGCTATTCTGATGACACCCGTGTGCAATTGTTTTAACTCTCTGATATGCCATTATGTAGTTCTTACAATTCTACTGTAGCCCCTTATGAAAGAAATCCCATTTATGCTGAGTGATCATTGTGTGTTTGCGACCTATGGCGAGTTGATGATGACAGTATCTTCAGTAGTACATAGGATCAAGCTGAATCTTATATGCAGTACTCAATCATTGTCCCATTTCATTTATTGGAATTAAATCTAGTACCAACTATTTGGAACAATGGGAAGAATATGCACATAACTCCATTGAAGGGACATAGAAACTGATGGAACCCATCAAGGATAGGTGGTATGAAGATGCATTTATTATGATAGTTATGAGAGTCTGAAATTGACGAATGACAAGAATCAAATGCCTTTGAAGGCAACAACTTCCTAGAACACATTTGATACTCGTATAATTTACTATTCCTTCCCTATTCTGACTCCAAACATTATGTAAGTGTCCAAAAATGTCTTGAATATGGTGAGAATGTTAGTTCTGAATGTTTGAATTGTTTTTGTGCTTCTAAAAAAGAACTTTATGAATTCTGCTGACATTCCTTCCCCTTCTTGACAAAAACATCATAATGGCATCCATAAAACCACGGAAAAAGGAAAATTATAATTTTCAGAAAATGTAGTCAAGAAGTCTCAATAAGGCATGAGTCGTTGTGAGATTCCCTAGGGAGTCCGGTCCCTTACAATAAAAGAATTCTAGATACCATTGAGTTTCACAGGATTTGTTTAGTCATTTGACTATTTTCAACACTAGCAGTCTCCTTTTTCCCAATGTTATATTGTACTTTATTTTTATGGTTTTTTCTCTGCCTTGTGGCTTGGTAAGGGCCTGTTCCAATTCAATTTATTTGAGTTTTAAATCAATGATGTGCCTAGCCAAACGAGTTTTTAAAGCAATGATTTGTTATGTCTATAAAGAACGGAACTCTTTGGTTGGGAACTTCTTCGATTTTTCTACCTACTGTTTTCTAGGTATTCTTGTGCTGCTGTTAGCCCATGTAACTTGGCCATGCATACACATGCTCCATGGAATATGTTGGTATGCCAAGGAAACGTCACTTTTATAATGCTTAAGAAACTCAGAATATTCTGTTTACCTTTGTTGTTGGATTTTCACTGCCAAAGCACTTAAAGTTATGGAAAATACCACCTGCCTCCTCTATCTAAAAAACCAAGTTTGGTGTAGGCTTTTGTGTTGAGAGTACCCAAGCCAAATTCTGACACTTGTATTTGGGTCACTGTAAGGTAGGCCTTACCATGTATTGGAAATTGTTGCTTTTAATTGTTTCAATTTCACTCTATAATGGGCTGAGATATATTGAGTAATTTAAGAACATTTTGCTCTATGATTTGGAACGTTGAAGTTAATTTGGGCATAAAATTCATGTTTGGTGTTAACCGTGTTATGTATTCCCTCTATAATGGGCAGAGATATTTTGAGTAGTTTAAGACCATTTTGCTCTATGATTTGGAAGGTCGAAGTTAATTTGGCCTTAAAATTCATGTTTGGTGTTAACCGTGTTATGTAGTTTTGTAACATTAATTAGAGTTGACATCCTTGATATTAGAAATGAAAACAATCTACTTCCACTCAATTCTTTTGGTTAAGACATTAGTTATTTCTTAGTTAATTAGACTTTCTTCTGATTTCCAGGGTGACTATGGCACAAAGGGGAGTTTTGCCACTCGAATAGCAGGATCTGCAGACCTATACCAGGTAATAACTCAAAGATAAATTTAAGGGTCAGTAAATTTTTATAATTTTCAGTATTGAAATTTCATTATTTTATTCATTTATTTTTGGTTGTTCTTTTTTCTAGTTGCAAGTGCCTTGAACCGACCTACTCTAACACTTTTTGGTCCTCCATCCTGCTCCCACTCCTGAAGATAATTTCTAGCTGACTTTCACTCTATTTCCTACTTCACATTGCAACCTTTTGATCTTTCTCGCTCCCACTCCCACTTGGTGGGACTACAGATGGTCAACACCTTGGAATGAGGTTCCATGTTGGTCTCTAATAGCTAGGCTGATCTTGGTTTCCTGAATGATGGATTGTGGCATTCAATGGTATCTCACAGTCATATTTGCCTAGTTTGTCCCTGATGTTAAGCACCATAATAACTAGAATATGTAGACGTGAAATTTCCAACTTTCTTCGTCTAGTTTGATCGATCATGGATAATCTAATTCTAGGATATCCTTTATTCTTTTTTTGAACCTGTTAACTTGGTATTAAAGTTAGAGAAATAATTACAGAGTACAAAAAATGTTGTCCTCGAGGAGCAGGTCAAGGCAAGCACCTGGCTGGATCAAAATATGCTGCAGAAACAAAAGGTACACTGCTTAAGTAAAACAAAAGAAACAAAAGGTCTTCTATGGTGTGGCTGGCGAGGCTCCTTCTTTACCTAGAGTGTTGGCCACGAGGTTGGACTTCCTCCTAATATGTGTCCATTAGACCTGAATATGCCTGCGTATGTAAAAAATCTCGTCAAAAATTGCGGTGAGTCTCCAAGGGGGAGTGGCCTCGCATGAGGCCCAAGAAATGACATTTTTTGAGTCACCCTCAACAACCAGGTCGGTGCTCCAAGAGGGTCGAAGGATTTGAGGCCTTCCAAAAGCGCTCAGGATTCTGCAGTGGTGGAGTCCGCAAAGCTGATGGGAGAGATTGGCAGTTTAGATTTTGACTTTGGTGAAGGGGTGCCCCAGCCAAATGGCATGTTCAGGGGAGATGGAGTCCAAAGAAAGGTCATCCATGGAAGGGGAGGCTCTCACCTGAGCACTGAGGGGGTTAGAAAAGTATTCGAGATGGCATGTTCTACGTGGTGTGGCTGGTCGAGGGTGAATCCCTGGTAATGGATTTGACTCATGGAGTTATCTCTTCTTCTACAGTTAGCGATCCTATGGAAGATATCGGTGTTAAGATCACCGCTTGTCAGCCATTTGACTTTCGACTGTTGGGCCTAATGGATCTCCTATTTCCTCAAAGTATTGTGGAAGCCCATTTTGAACTGGGAGTGAAGGAGAGATTCCTTTTGAGTTAAGAGGTCAAGCCTCTTCCGTGAGGTCAAGCTGGTGGATGGAGTTAAGAAGCTCTTCCTTCTGGGTGTGGATGTGACCGGGAGTTATCTACTCCAATTTCTGAAGGAAAGTTTAAGGAGGTGAAGTTTTCTTTGGAGGCGAAAACCCCGCCCATCTCTGTACACTGGGGGAGTAGGAAAACTACCAAGAGTGGATGAGGGAAGGGAGGCTGGGTTCCTCAAGCCATGACATTTCAAAATGGAAAAGTTTTGGGCCACCACGCGCCAGTAGGGTGTCTAGTAGAAGGAGTTTGTGACCGAGGTGGTTTTGGGAGGGCTAAAGAGTGAGTCTCTGGAAATGAAGGGTCCTAAAGGGGGCTACAGAGGAAGCTGTCCAATTTAGAGAATGAGGGGGGGAAGCAGAGTGGTTAGACCAGGTATAGATCGCCCCTTGGAGGGGAATCAGAGAAGGTGGGGGGGAGGCAGATTGGTTAGACCAGGTATAGATCGCCCCTTGGAGGGGTATCGATCAAATCGTGGTGGGCGATGAAATCGGAGAAGGTCATCATGGTAGGAGTGATCCTGGCTGAAACACTTCTTTTGAATGACCATCACGTGATGTTGAAATCCCCTCCTAAGCACCACCTCGACGAGGGGTTCGAAGGCAGTACTGTGGCACTCGTTTCACAGATGGGGCCTATCGCTATCAGAATTGGGGTCGTAGATGGCCGAAATTTCCAGGGAAAGTTATCGGAGATCCTTTATTCTTATAATATTAGAACAATAAATTTAATTGAAGCAGCACATCGAATACGTTAGCTGTTTTTTAATTCTCAAAATCAGTGATTGCAAAATTGTTGTTATTATGATGGGAGCCAGCCCTCGTCTTACTGTTGAATATTAGTACTGAATGTAACTATTTTAAAGTTATAAACACAAAAATATGACTTTTGTGAACTGTCATAGTAGGGCATAGTTTGGAGGTAAAGCACCACACTAGTACAATGCGTATTCTGGGAGGTAGAGGTGGCAAATCCACCGCGGGCCTAGAAAATGGATCATGAATATGAACAGTTGTATGGACATGGATCCGCAAAGTGCATCCAACGGTTCATCTCTATTGTGCATTCTGTAGCATCAACTGTACACATTGAATGTAAGCAATACACTTTCCTTGCATCTAATTATTCTTTCATCTAGATGTTTTGTATGTTTAGTTTTTTCACCTAGTTACAATCAATGATTAAATACTATAATTGTTGGTATGGACAATTATTGAAGATGCATTTCGTTACTTACCATTGCCATATGTGGACACCTTTCGTCATACAATTAATGACCTGCATTCTTGACAGCTGTTCAAAATGGTGGCTTTCATTGATGGGGTTGTTCTACATGAGTTGAGGTCGAAAATATTATTAATAGGCACAGATAATAGTTATCAAGACCAGACCGAAATAGTTAGTTTGATTGTGAACCGTGATGATGTGCACATCAAGTGGACAAAGTGACGAGTATCCTTTATAAGAGCAGAAAATTCCTCGTAACTCTCATATTTTTGGAGGATTTGAACACTAGGAGGGCCACTAATAAGACAAGATGAACAAGCATTGCTTGGATGATTTTCTAGTTATTTTAGGGTTATTTTTCAGCTAATTCTTGTGATAATTTTAATTGCTTTAATTTTCTGGACCAGTTGGAGACATTCTAAGCATTTTATTTATAGTCAAGATCATTTATTTTGAAAGACACTTATGTGATGTCTCTGAACATTAAGTAATAACATTTAAGAGGTGCGTGGGGCTATGGACAACCATTCACGCGACCTTTCAGACTGAAAAAGAGAGAGAAAGCATAGGCTTTTGAGAGCCCTAGTTGGGTTTGAAGGAGAAACCTTAGGCTTCTCCTAGGCACTTGGCCTGAAATAATTGTTGATTTTCCCAGTTCTCCTTCAAGTTCCTTGAATCAATTTGGTATCGAAACCTAGGATTTTCAACAAGGCTAGGGAATTACAACCAAGTCTAGGATTTGCTGATTTTGGGCCAAGATTTGTTGATTTCGTTGAACTTTTGTTGATTTCAACCCAGGGTTTGCCAAATTCAGCTTACATCTTGTTTATTTTAATCAAGGAAAATGGAGAGATTAAGGATGATGGCGTGTATGGAATTAGAGTTGGGTGGAAAAGTGGAGATGTGCGACCGGAGTTTTATGTGATCTCTGCATATCAATAAAATTGAAGGGGAGGTTCTATAAGACAATTGTGAGACCAACACTTCTTTTTGAGGTAGTCTGGAAACAACATACCCATAGGATGAGTGTAGCTAAGATGAGTATGTTGAGATGGATGAGTGACAGAACAAGAAAGGATAGAATTTGAAATGAATACATTGCGAAGAACTTATGTGTGCCTCCAATAGGCAGTAAGATGAGTGAAAGTAGACTAAGATGGGGTGGCCATGTGCAACACAGACCCTGTATGACACTTGTTAGGAGGTGCGAGTTGGTTCAAGTGGAAGGCTAAAAACGTGTAAGGCATAAGCTCAAAACGACATGGTTGGAAGTATTGACAAATGATATGGGGACTTATGGCCTCACTGTGGGTATGATCCTTGATAGAGCAGAATGGCGGACTAGGCTTTGCGTAGAGGACTCCAAATAGTTGAGAAAAAGCATTGATGATGATGATGGTTTGAGAAAAAGCATTGATGATGATGATGGTTTTCTTCCTAGGGTTTGTAAACCCATGATAGCAGGAAGTCACTGAAACAGGGGAATTCTTGTGGATCTACCTCATGATCTGAGAGGTGAGGTGCTTGAAGACTTCAAAACCCCAATTCAACAGCTTACACAACAATTTGCAGGCATCACTCATAGGCAAGCTGAAGATCTTTACACCATCACACTCTATGCGTGGGGTCGATTGATGACGACAATGATGGAAGCCCCGGAAGTGGGAGGCACTACTCTAGGGTTTTTGACAGCATGACTCAACCCAGTGAGGTTTTTTTTTTGGTGTTTTTGAGGTTGGGGGGGGGGGGGGGTGGGGGGTAGGGGTAACGGTACTAATTTACGTTTCTACGTATAGTAGTAATTAACTTAACTAAGTTCGTTCT